GGGGGGGGGGGGGGTTACCGCTTTGTTAAACCCCCGAGCCACACTCGGGAGTACCAATGGATACGCGCGGAAATACGCCCCAAAGAAGCTGCTGTACTTGTTCGGGCGTAGTGCGTTTCCACGCGCTGAAATACGCCCAGGTGGGAACCCAGCCTAAGGCTGCGTTCACACCTGACCGTTTTGTGGCGCGTCCTACAAAACGGTCAAAAAAATAAATAGCATTGTAGTAAATGCCCTCGTTCCCACCTTGGCGTATTTCCGCCCGTCCCTAACGCGCTACAAAACGGCCCCGGGACTACTTTGGGCCGTTTTGTAGGGCGTTTTCCATTGGGATACAGCCAAGTAGCCTTTGGAATCGCGCGACTTTTTTACCGCGAATCGCGGTAAAAAACCCGCGTGACGGTCGCGCGACAGATGCGCATATTACAATACGCCCAGGTGTGAATGGGGCCTTAGTCTGGAGCACATGGTATGATCACTCCTCCATCGGATTGGCTGGATGTCTGCTATCGATGACGGGACTGGGGAGCCGGGTCATAGAAGGGAGGCGGGGACAGGAGACACTCACCTGTAGATGTTCCTCGGGGACGATGACCGGGCCGCACCTCGTGTGCTGAGCGCAGGCGCCATGACAGTATCGGTGAGGATCCGACTTCCTCTTCAGGTATTGGTTGTTGGCACATTGCCTTCGGACAGCAGGAAGAGAACACAAAGCGTCAGCGAATAACAAGACGACCAGGAAATCTGCCCCTTATGGTTCTCAACCCCACAGCATCCCCCGGGGCGGGGCAACCTCCGCACTCCAACTACAAGTCCCATGAGGCATTGCAAGACTCCGACAGCCACAGGCGGAGACAGACGCATGATGCTGAGGTTGCCCTAAAGTAGGGATGGCCAAACTCCGGCCCTCCAGCTGTGGGGTGAAACTACAAATCTCATGATGCATCTCTCTCCCCGGGAGTCACGTCTGTGGCTGTGAGAATCTTGCAAAGCCTCATGGGATTCGTAGTTCCACCCATGTCTGTCTGGAGTTTGGCTTTCATTCCACCAGTGGCCAGTGCTCCCC